TTCTCCCCACCTCTACCGCCACTACTCCCTGCCATTTTCACAAACACAACCGAGTGATTTGCTGAGGCTGAAAAGCCAATTCGTGGCATAGCTAATGTTTTAGCACCATCTCCTTGCGCTAGCATGTGTCATCAAGACGAGCCTGTGCATGTGGGTCACAAATTTCCCAGTCTGAAGGACCTGAGACAGATTACCATTTGGAAAAGAGCTCATTGCCAGGCAGTGATTTCAATGTTTATACTTTTCCCATCCCTAAAATGCTGAGGAAAACTCTAAACCAGCAGCCTGAACACTAAATCAATAGGTCCTGTGTTATACAGAGGAGGTTGCAGTGAGGCATATAGGAGGGCTTAATCTGACTTCTGACTGCCTGGGCAAGCTGCGTCACATCGGGCAAGTTATATAATCCCTTTGTGCTGCCACTTCCTCATGCATAAAATGAGAAGAGTTGATCCCTGGCTCCATGTCCTTCCCCCCAGTGGCTGGCGTGTGTGGTGCATGAGTGCACCTGCTTCATTCAGCTCACAGTTGCCTGCACAGTGCTTAGAACAGTGCCTGGCATACAGCAGGTGCTAACAAATGCTGAAGGGACACTAATCAAAGGAAACTCCTTGAGAGTGGAGTGTTCTGCTTTTTCCTGTTTATGAGTGCTGCTGTATCACCAGGTGCCCAGAACCGTGCCTGCTACAAAGGGGCACTCAGTAAATATTCGCTATATTGCTAAGTAAAGGGACCTGCATGGACAACGACTTCTGTTCAGACCCACAGCCTCTCTGCCATCCCACACAGGAGTGTCTTAGCTGCTGAGCACTGTGCCTCAGCCTCAAGGGAAATTATTTTACTTTCTTTCTTCTATGATTAAAACTCATTCCAATCCCACTTCCTATTTCCTTCTTAATGGACATACAGGCAATTTATGGGGGAAAGCCAACAGAATGACAGACAAATGTCACAAGAGTTGAGACAGCATTATCACAGTTTCTCTCAAGTACAAGAAAATAAAAAAGAAACTGGATTCACACAGTGGTGAATGGTATTGTAATGGATCTTGGCTTTCTTTATGGTTCAGACTCTAGGCAGGCAGTGACCTCCCCAAAGGCATCAAGAATGTGGCTGGCTGTTGGAGGCACAGACAGTCTCAAAGAATCAAGGTGACCATGAGTAGTTGGCAAAACACCTCCCTGGGTACTTTCCAGTGTGGCATGACTGTATTGATGAATGCTGAGAACCAAGGTTACAATTCAAATGGAGCAAATTAGGTCAAGAGAGGAGAGAGGAGACATGAGAAACAGCATCACTCTCCAAAGCACCTTCCACAAACCACTTCCATGAGATGTGCCACAAGAACTATGCAAAGGGGATTTTTTTAAATAATCAGTTAATTTGGGGAACTGATAGGCCACACAATATTACACAGATTTCTGGACTGTCTCTTGACTTACTAGAACTTGTGAAACATTAAGTGCATTCTGCAACTTCAATATGAGGCTTTAGATATAGAATTTTCTACTTATTTGCCTAAACAATACTTATTTTTCAGAACATTGTCTAAGACTAATAATAATACTCTTTAGGAAATCTTAGATCAAATAAGGATAAGGAAGCAAGGAGAAAAATGAAGCCTATTTGTGAATTACTAAATACTAATAATTAGTTTATTAATCTGAGCACATCAAAGGCAAGATGACTTTGGGCTTATTTAATGAATCCAAATAAAGTCCTATTATTCTGGGAGCACTATTACAATCATGAAATTATGAAAACATAAGTGGCTTTTAGGAATATTAAAAATAATAAAACCCTTTATCACACTCACAAAGACAACAAAGCTAACTCCCAGGCTAAAAGAGTCTTTTAATCTGTGACAGCTGCAGATACAAGCTTAGAGCCTCCACCTCTACCCATTGCCCCAGAGGGAAAAGAAAAACACATCTATTAAAAAAAAGAAGAAGAAGAAGTCTTAGTAGATCTCAAGGGAAAAGTTCATTCCAGGGCTAAGGGGTGGGGAGAAGAAACTCTAATGCTGAAAATGCTTTGTCTTTCCTCTTGGGTCTCCTCCAGGCTCGTGAATGGACAAAACCCAACAGAACACAGTAGTTTGGACATTAGTTGACTACTGCCCTCTGCTGGAATGTGCACACCATTTCTAAGACTCTTTCAAAAGCAGGCAACACAAAAGCACTGAGGGTCTACAAAACGTACACATTAAGTATTTGGAACTAGAGGACTTCAATATTTGTCCAAATCTTTTTGACTCAGTGGCTTTGGTTGTCACTTGGCTGCCCCCCAGGCCCATCAAATTCAACTCATCCAAAAGTGAGTGTATCTCTGTCAAAATCCCACTTCCTGCTATCCCACCTAAGGACATTCCCAAGAATGGAGGAGCCACTATTCTCCCTCACCATTTGCACCCAATCAGACCCCACGCCTTCAGAGCATACTCATCATCCCTATCTCTCCTACCATCACACTGTTGTGGAATGGGCCCTCTGCTGAATTTCTTTCAGCAGCCCTCTGGCTGGCACTTGTCTTCTCAAATCCATCCTCCATACTCTCACCTTTCTAAAACAATAATCTCATCATTTGAGAGAGCTGCCAGAGCAGTCAGGGGGAGTCTAGCTCCTTGCTTCTAATATAAATCCTGCCATTCAGCCCACCTCTTACATCTGATTTCCTGGTGTCACCACCACTACATGTATACACATGTGCATACACACACACACACACACACACACACACACACACACACACACCTATACTCCAAGGACTGCAAAATGACCTGTTTCCCCCGATGCTTCATAATGCATCATCTAGTTCAGGACTCCATTTTATAAGTATTTCCACTGTCTGAAATTCCCCTTTTTCCCTCAATTCACAGCTCCAAGGTCATCTCCTCCAGGATGCTTTCCTTGACCCTTCCTCTGTCACAATCTGCAGCATGCTCACCATAGGATTTGCAAATGACTGCACTCCAGGCGAGGTACTTAGGCTCTCCTTGGAAAGCTTGTTTCACTGCCTCAACCCCAGACCGGTAGCTCCTTGGGCAAATAATACAGAATTTCAGTACTTATTTAGACTTCACTGTTCTAAATTAGTCTGAAGAGGAATGACAAGGAAGGAAATATATACAAGATGATCTAAAAAATCAGAAGCTGACTTGGAAATCACAGTGTGGGGGCTTAAATAAGAAATAAGGGTAGTATAAAAATGTAGTCATCAATGCCACAGGACTTGGCAATTGGCAGCCAAGAAACTTAGCTCCAAGTTTTTATCAGCCCACTAGAGGTGAGAAGCTGGATTAGCTACAACTGCAGCCATAAAAGCAGGCCAAGTGCTCAGGGAAAGCCATCATTCATGCCATGGAGCCAGGAAGAAGTTTCTCCTGCAGGTCATCAGAGAGAAAGCGTGGAATAATTCCTGCTTGGGAAGGAAGGGAAAACAGTAGCACCCTCAACACAGCCAGAAGCATCACTCACAGAAAACAGCAAAGGCACCTCCACCTGAGCCGGATCGCAAAGTCTGGCAGGGAGCTCAGTGAGTCAGGCTTAACACAGGGGCAGGCACAGTGTGGACAGCCACACAAACCTCAGCCACTCACTGTAAATGTCCCTTCTCCAAGACCGCCTTCTAACAGCCTACGTACGTCCATCCTACCTGGACTACAGCTAGTCTCTGCTTCCAATTAAAAGCAAAACCACAGATATTAACTAGCTGTTAATATTGATGACTTAGGAATAAGAAACTTACCTTATTTTTCCTCCCTAGCCCTAGTACCTAACATGTTGGTTCTCAGCACTATCAGGCCAATGTCCCTTAAGATTAATAGGTATTTTATACTTCTTCACTATCCTGAAATTAAATATAAAAATAACATAACTTTACCTGTCCCAATATATACATATATGAAATATATACATATATGAAATATATTACATATGTGTGTATTTATATATATGACCCTATCTTTATTTATAATCTTAGAAAAGCAAAATCTTTAGTACCCCAACTAAAATATGAAGCAAAAGGAAAATAATCAACACTAAGACAATACATATTTCAATATACAAAACATTTTCCAAAAAACACAGTGATATGGTCAGATTTTTGCAATTATTGTCAGGTAATCAGAATGCACTGCAGACAAAAGGTATAGGAATCTGCAAAAACAGATAAGAATGATTGCTAGGATAAAAACTCATGTTTGTATGAGGACATACGAACAGACCAAACTTCTTAGTATAGGGAAAAGGTATGCAAAATGCAATAAGGATTGCATGCCCAGATAAACTGCCAAGCTAAAGAAAATGAATGCTAATAACATCCCTGCAAGTGAGCTGGGTGCCATGTCTGGGATGGCATCAGAATGATTCCATGTACTCGATGTGAAACAGAGTAGTGACGCTGCATTATGAAAAATCTCTCTGCGCATCAACACCCAACATGAGCAAAACTGTGCATTTGGCCATGGAATCAGCTGTAGGGGACAACTCTTCGGGGTGCATGTGGGACTGCCCCATACTTTGATGAGTCTCACCTCTAAATGTTGGTAGTGCTGTTCACCCCTCATGCCAACAAGCACCCCTTCATCCCTTCATGATCCCCACGTCATTCCCTCTCAGGCCTGCTGCCCCAGCACAGAGGAGAAGCTCCCCAAAGGATAAATGAGCAAAACAACCAACAGAAGAATGGAGTGAATAAACTTTGGAACAAGAAAAATCCGTGTGCCTGGAGAGTGCTCCAAAGATGTGGAACATAAGGGCCTGGCCCACGTTCAGCAAATGGCACTCAGCGAAGGCCTGCTGAATAAAACATGGAAATAGTTTTACATTATGTCTGGTGCTATCAGAGGAAGCAAGGGCTTTTATCCTATCGCATAATCCCAGATCTTGCCGCTGAGCCCCTTGCTTCATGCTTTGTTTCACTGTGTACTTCAAAAGACTAGTTAACCAGTTTGTCCTGGTACCTTCTGGGTTGCATAGGTGTGTCAGGAACATGCATACCTTCTTCAGTTTTTGCAGCTCCAGAAGGCATGATTGGTCTTTCCTCTGGCCTGGCTTCTTGCTCAAGTGCCTAAAAAATGAAAAAGAAGGGGGAAAATCACCAAAAATTATTTGAGACTAGAGATATCCAACAAAAGATGAAAAATCACAATCAAAAGCTAGGAGAGAGGGAGTGGGGGAGGGTAGGAAGGAAGAAAAAAAAGGAAGGAAAGGAAGGAAGGAAGACAAAGCCTGGGCCCCAGGATATGGAGACAGAGGTAGGGAGAAACCTACAGGGAGAGGCCAAAACTATTCCTTGGCTGTTTCTGCAGGTCATGAAGGTTCTCAGGAACATGATGTTTGAGCCAAAGAAAGAACAAAGAATCTCAAAGTGAAAAAGAAGGGTCACTGGTTTATTCTCTAGAGCATCTCACACCCAAACCCTAAGACACAGTGACATCGGAGGACCAAATGAGGGGCAGGGCTGCAATCATGAGGAGGATCCAAAATAATCATGGGTTGGGAAATCATGCTGCAAACTGGCACACACTGGCACAAGCATCTCTGGCTGAAGCTAAGTTGATGACCCTTCCCCAGGCTGAGCTTTCTGCCCTCTGGGAACCTTGGACTTCCTTGGGCTTTCCTTTCAGATAGATTCCCCACAGCCAGCAAAAATGTGAAGAAACACAGGATTATGTGTTGATATGCCAAATGGTAAAACAGCCCAAGATTGTATGAGCACATGTTCCAAAATAAACCTTCAGTCTTCTGGGGCAGGTAACCACACAACTAACATAGACCCCTGCCTCATTCCCAACAGGTTATTAAGCCCAGAGGATCAAGGGTTGTACTCTTCGACCATTTCAGAAAAACATTCTGAGGCCACTGCATGAAGAACATGAAAATAGACACGATTTACTGAATCACAAAGGGGCGGGGAGCACAAAATGCCTAGTCATTCACCCTCAAGGGTCATTAACTTTCTCAGCTCTTGCTGGACACAGCTCTTGCTCAGCTCTCTTCCAGGGCCCTGGGCATCAGGGGATGGACAAGAGTAGGTCTGCAACAGGACAACCTGGGGCTGGGAAAGATAACCACACAGATTTAAGGCCTGAGACCACCACCTCCCCTTTAGTTTTATCTGGAGTCAGCTTTGACCTTGAACCCCTCATCTTCCAATGAGGGAGGTGCCAAGCCTACATAAAATAAGGGCATCAAACAATGCTAGTCTCTTATCAAAACAAAACTTGGAATAAAATACTATCTTTTTAATAAATGAAATGTATGAAAACTTAATTTTTACACCTAGTAGTTTTAGGATGCAACTTTATAAAATTTAAGTGTCTTAGTTGTCTTCTTCATTTCAACTCAGTTCCAGAACTAAATTATCAGGATTCTGATTAATAGAAAGGCTTTCTCATGAGGAGGATAATTAAAAAATAATTAAAAGATATAGCTAAGATCTTGCCCATTCACAGGTATGGGTAGAACTCAGGAGTAGAGCACATGTTTATGATATGCAAGGCCTGGAGTTAAATCCCAACACCAAAAAGGGAAAAAATAATAATAATTTTGCCTAATCTTTAATTTCTTAATAGTTGTCATTATAATCTGGATATTTAGCACCAGCCTGTCATTTTAATCTTTAGTATATATTACAAATTGTCATGGCACCATCATCAACTGGAATACAGAGTAAAAAAATAAACCTCTGCAAAGTGTGGCTTCTGAGGAGATCACAGGAACAGCTCCAGGGGACAGCAAAGCCAGCATAGAACTTCTGCAGCAAGGTTTTACTGCTGCTGTTGTAGAAGGCTGCAGGTAAGTGGTCAGTGCTCACACCTGAGACTTCATATATCTCTTTGGAGGAGACTGAGTATGGACCATGATTCAGTAAGCACCAATCAGCCGCTCAAAAAAAACCTCAAAAATGAACTTTTTAAAAAAATGAACTTTTAGACATTCAAGATTCAATAAAGCATGAAAATTTTCTGTATATACGCTATGCATAATCTCATAATAGTTGTCATCCGATGTTGTGAAGCTTCAGTGTAGACAACTCATCCAGGAAGTCTCACTTGCTTACATTTAAAATAACACTAACCAAGTAAGAAGTACCGCAAACAATTGGAAACTCAAGAATGCCACAGAATTGTTTTGTCAGGCAGGTCAGAATGTCAGAAAGAATCTCAACTATTTCCTTCCCTCCTGCTGCCCCTGCTCACCACCATACCACTACCTCTAGGTAGAGGGGAGAGTGCTGAAATGAGAGACTACTGCATTTTAACTGTTGTATTTATCAAGTGTTTTCCATGAAATGAAATGAAATCCTCGGAGAAGGTGGAGATCCACCCCTTCTTGGTCTTTGGTGTTGTGAAGTCTACTATAACAAAATATGGTGGTATGCAGATATATTCACCATAAATCTTCCCCAAAAGTTATCAGCATTATTGCAAATGTGTATGAGAGATGTCACAAATCCAGCCTAAACAGTTGGAGGACTGGATAATGAAGTGAATGCCCAGTGGGCTCTGCTTGCACAGAGAACATGTTCTACTGTTCCCAGAAGTTCAGTCACCAAGTGCCATTCTGCTGTCTAAGTGTCTCTTCTGAGGTTACATGTGTTGCTGAGCTCTGTTCCTTGGGGACTGCAGGGCACAGACCTCATCCTGAGAACCTCTACATGGCAAAGCCAATGTCTGTCTGGCCAGATCAACCTCCACCTGGTGCTTTGATGAAAAGCCACAACAATGGCTGAAGATTTAGCATCTTCCAATGATAAGTACTGTATCCTTAAGCAACGCCCTCATTTGTATATTGTATGTAACACTGTGTGTCAGTAAAACATACACACAATTTCCTAAAACTGAACAGAGAGGTAGACTGTACTTTGAAGAGTACATTTTAATTGTTTAAATAAAACTCTATATGGAATAAGCCAATAAAAATATTTAATATATAATGTTTGGGGCTGAATTTTAATGGTCTGACACAAACATACAAAAGGCAATATCGATTTTCTGAGCTAACTTTTTAATATGTTTTAAAGCTTCTACAGCCATGAAAATTGTACCTTGCTAATAGATGTGCTTTAAAACTCAGGAGGCCACAGGATCTGACTAGTATAACTAGTAAGTCCATCAAACCTCTGACCCTGGTCCAATGGATCGACCCAGGCTCTCATTCATAGTAACACTTTGCTTACTGATAAGTAAAATGTGTAAATATTCTTTATATTCTTTCAGAATATACAAAAGACAATGACAAAAATAACAATAAAGGAGAAACAGTTCACCCCCAAGATGGGCATGCTATGGTAGCCCTCAAAGTTAGTAAGGGGCCATGGTGGGAGGAGAAAACCTTTACATTCTTACCTGTTCTTATGTGTACACTGGGACAAAAGCTTAACTACATCTAAGCCCTAATAAGAAAGCCCAGGAGTAGATAGTACACATAGCCCTAAATGCAACTTCTTTAAATAAGAATTATAATCCAGTCTAGTGTTATAATAAGTTCAGAGAAAATATCAAATATACGAATGTTAAAATCCAACCATGAGTAGGGTTGTTCCAGAAAACTCCAGGAATCAAGATTATTATACAAACTATTTTCCTACTGCCAGAATATATACTAATCTTCATTCCACACTTTAACAGTTTCCAATTCCATGCCCCCAGTGTTTCATTGGATTTAAAAAGTGCTACCTCAAAAAAGCACTGTTCCCAAAACAATGAACGGAGGCTTGCTCTCTCTCCAGAAGCATGCATGTCTGTACACCAAATTAACTGGCACAAACCTTAACAAGAAAGGCTCTGTCCCAAAAGTATTTTCGGAAGAGTTTAATATCTGCCTCCAGTAAGTGCTCAGCCGTGTGGTTAAGGGTGAGAGTCAGTGTGTCTGATGAGTGAACGTACTGCAGAGAAGCATCCTCACTGAGCCGTGCTCGGGAGAAGCCTGGGGAACGTGGGCCCTGAAAACTGAAACATCACAGTCACAATCCACGCACAGCTTGGACAATGCCATCCCCAAGAACCCAGGACCCTCTCTCCCCAGATATTACAAATCCAACTGGCAAATGTTCCTTGAAAATCACCTTCATGCAACAAATACATAAGATCATGTAAACAGATAGTAGTAAAGCCATCTTTTGTTCCACCTACAGAAGCTGCTTAGTAAAAGGAATTTGAAATATACATATACCTTGAAGATTTCTAAAAAAAAAAAAGTAACAGTAATGACTTTCAAATACAGAACTTTACCCCAATGTTTCATTTTCCTTTTAATCTGAAAAGACACCTCTCCCTTTAACAGGGCCACAATGTAGAACAAATTAGCTAGCAGCCAGTGGTTTATTAGGTGATTACAGTGGAAAACAGATAAGTTCTCTGGGGAGGCAGTGAGGTTTGGCTTTTACAAACAAGTGAGATATTCATAACACACTGGGACCACTGTTGTAAATCTCTTTGTCATGCAAATTAAAACATGCATAAATTCAATCATGTGTATTCATGAATACTTTCCTTAGCAAACTAAATTATTGAATATAATCTTATTTTCTGTTCTATCTTAGCTAAGAACAACTGCATACTTATTAGCTATAGGTAGGCTTCATAGTTAGTAAAACAATATTCTAGGTCAGGCAACACCAACAGTAAGGATGCCTCAGGAAAGAAAATATTAATATTCAGCATGTTGTCACACCCCCACAGACTATTCCCAGATTCCTTAAATCACAGAACCAGCTCTGTACCTCTTCCCTCTTCTAACATGATCTCATTTTGTTAATGAATGTTTGTTTTACAGTCCCTAAGTTAGGATGGTTTGACTTATAATTTTTCAATTTAACCACGGTGCAGAAAGTATATGCATTCATTAGAAATCTTACTTCAAATTATACGTGTTGACTTTTTTTCAAGCTAGTAAGGCTGGGCAGTGGCAGAGAGCCATAGCTCCCACACAGCAACATAATGACACAGTAAACAGCCCGTGCTGTTCAATAGGTTAGGTGTAGTAATCACATCTTTGGTGTGAGAATTTACCATCTTACAATGGGTCGTGAGGACATCACCCCATCATAAGGAACATCTGATCTGCATTTCCATTGAAATAAATATTATCTCTGTCATTATAGAGTGATAAAAAGAGATCTATAAAGGGCAGTTATACTCTAAGACTTGGGGAAACTCCCCAAACTCTTCACACTAATTGCGACAAGAACTCCAGAATTTTCTAGAAACAAACTCTCCAAGACAACAATAAGCAGCTGATGCGGACACACGCTGAGCCTCCTCAGTAAGATGACTGCTATTAATTTAGAATGTGGATGTTGTATCACACGATCAAAATTGAGTTCACAGTCTAATCCATAAATGCTTTCATTAAACATATAAACTTTTTAAAAATACTACCTTCTGATCTCAGACACAGGGAAAAAGCTACAAAGAAATGAAGAAGTCTGCCTCCAGGATCTCAGCGGAACCCCTACTCATGGTGACTAAGTCAAAGGACACATTCTTGCCCAGCCGTTTTAGCAAAGTAAGTGGAACTGTGTTAAACCAAAGGGAAAATCCCTGTGGATAGGCTTGTCTCATGGTGGATGGGCTTTTGACCAAATAAGAAAAGTTAACCTCTGATTTCTACTCCAATGTCTATACTGACTGTGTAACCATAAATTACAATTAGTGATATGAACCCAAGAAGAAAAATCCACTAACACATATTTAATATTTATATAGCACTTTGAATCTTTAATGAATCTTTCCATTTATATTTTGTATAAAATCACATATTAAAACAATAAAATCACTACATATAAAGGCTCCTTTCATAAATTAAGAATAATGACCTATCTGAATCATTCTAAATAATAAACAGTAGGCTCATTGTTTATTGGACGTGTCGATACATCATAAACATGGAGAACTTTATAATTAACAAATTATTTCCTTTCCATCATTTCATTAGGCCCTAAATATACCAGAGTTTGTCATTCATTGATTTAACAAAAATATATTCTTTCAGTGAAAATTATTGGCTGGACTTTATACTAAAAGAAATTACAGTGGGTAAAACACATGATCCAACTTCTCAGATAATTTCGGAGGAAGGCAGAAATGAAACAAATGTTCTTATAATTACATTTTACTCTTAATATTATAAATTAATCATAATCATAAAATATAACACAGAAAGCCTCTCTGAAGAAGTGACATGAAACTTCACAGATAAGCAGAAGTTAGGCTATAGTTTCCTCAATTTTTTTTTCTTATCTCTCTCCCATGGTTTTTTGAGACCTTTTCTTCCTGCCTCTTCTCCATGAAATATTAATACCAAGTACATCTGCTTATGTAATTAATGAGAATTGACATTTAAAAAGACCCCAACATTGACTTTACAAAAACAAATCAAAAGAGAAACTATCAAGCAGCTGAACTCACTTTGTGATATCTTCCACGAGCTTCGAGTGTCCTCCATGTGTGGCTAAGTCTAATGGCGTGGCACCCTCTTCATTGGGTAGCACCAAGGCCTGGACACCCCCAGGGAGACACAAGAGGAAGTGGCAAAGCCTAGCCAGGCCCCATCTCACAGCCAGGTGTAGAAGAGACTCTCTGTGTAGAGATACTGTACAGAAAGAAAAACGTGATATTAGTTCCTCATTCCTCAATTTCCCAAGTTTGTTTCATACCTTTTGTCAAAAAGAAAATGCATTTAGATATAATAAAATGTCAAACCTAGAAAGAAGTACAAAAGCATCTGATCCCAGGACCTCACTCTGCAAATGTGAAGCAGTCCAAAGATTTGTCCAATGTCAGGAAGCTGGAAGATGCTAGGTCAGGTCGAGTCATCACTAATGTGATATCCTTTCCACCCACATTGCCACCAATTGTCACTAAACATGCAAGAAGATTACCTATGAAAAGCAGGTCCTCGGGAAAGACCATTATTTGGAAACAAACACTTGCCAATTTCCAAGGTACCTTTAATGAGATCTCCCTGCCCTGTCATGACCATAAAGGAGCCACCGTCCCTACCCTCTGTCCTCAAAGCTGCTCCTCCCCTAATGAGAAGCTACATCAGCAACAGCCTTCATATGCCCAGAAATTTTGAGATCATGGTGTCTGTCAAACTTTACAGTAAAGCTTCTGCCCATCTGTTACATCCCTGGGGTTATTTCGATATTGCCAAAGCCACCTTGGTGCTTCGCAACAGCTAGGCTTGGATCTATTTTAATGCTCTGGGACAAAGGGCTCTTGGTTGGTCTGTGTCTTGGTTTCCATTGTTTGTTGCTCTACATTATGATTGTTTCCTGATTGTATCACCTTACAGGCTGATGGGTCTTTGGAGTTTTTACTCCTAATGCCTAGCATAGCTAAAAACAGACAAAGTAGCACACTGCCACCAGATATCTTTGTGATATACTAGACATCTTCATCTTTAAAAAATTCAAAAGAGGGCTGGGGATTTAGCTCAGTGATTCCATCACCTGCCTCACAAGCACAAGGACTAGAGTTCGATCCCTGGCACTAAGAAAATAAAATTCAAAAGAGCTAAGTTGGCTATTAAAGAACTAATCTCTATTTTATCCTTTAAGTTTTTGACTATTATTCTCATTTGATTAGAAAGTAGAGTTTCTTATTCTTAACAGATTCCCAGCAGGGAAAGTTTGACAACATTTGCATTTTCCTTCCTTTTTAAATATTAATCAGGAAGAGACTTGCTAGGACTGGGTAGCAAAACATACAAATACACTCACTGGCATGAGACAGGCATCAGTATGAGATACTAGCCAGCCACACTGGGATAAAATTTCTAAGACACAGATCCTGATCTGAATCTGGTGATGAACGTTCTACAGTTCTACAGGTTGCAATTTTCTTGCCCTTCAAAACAAAAACAAAAACATGATCACATGAGAACAAAGAAGGCCTCTGAGTTCCCTTTTAAAATGACGGCACTGGTAGAGGCAAACATGGTATTAATTACTTAGACGGTTCTACCTAGAATGCCATTGCCTGTGGAGTTTATAATGCTCCAAATATGGTTAAACTTCGGGTGCAGCTCACTGTCTTCAATTTAAACGAAGCAGTGCATGTGAGGTACTACAGTCTCCTCTACCAGGGGAGCCTGCCAAACCCAAGTTCCAGCTCCCTGTTATCCGCTTTGGGGCCCCATCTCCACATCTCTGAAAGGAGAGAACAGTCACGGTTGCCCTTCTGTGTCTCTCTATTTCCTCAAGATTTTTTTCCACTTCAAGGGCTGGAGGGAAAACAGGGAAAAAAGAGGATCTTCTGATGTTTAAAAAAATACATAAAGAAGAAATTGGCCAGGTTGTTGTGAGCGAGCACTGTCTCCTTCAGTATGAACACCCAGAAGAAGGCAAACGGCTTGGAATAGGAAGCATCATGACATATATAAGTAATTCTGCTTGTTAGAGAGTTTCTGATTTCTAATCACCAGCCAGAAAAACAAACTGCAAAAAAGAGTTATACAATTTAGCAGAGATAGGACTGTTTGATTAAAAATGAAAAAAAAATCCAAATAGATCTATCTCTTCCTGTTTAGTTGATACATGGAATTATCTGAACTAATGTAACTAAGCAGAGTTACTAGTAATTGCTGCAGTGGCAAACATTAAAAGGTGTGACTGGTGACATTCAGCGAGTACAAATACTCAGACATGGGAAGGAACTGGGCAGGCTGGGTCATTCCACAATGGCACATCGAGGGCCCGTCTGCCTCAAAGACCACGCTCTTCACTCCGCAGAAGAGCATCAGTTTCTTCTCCTACAAGCTGTGGCTGTCAAAATAAAGAGCTAAAGTTCCTAAAATTATTCTACCTTCTCTGGACTTCACAGTGAGCAAGGCATGGTGAAAAACAGCACACACCAAGGGGACTTTCAAAACCTCTGGGAGAGCAGAGCCAAGCTGGAGCGGAGTTTTGATTATTATATTTCATTGTTTTTTTTGTTTTGTTTTTTGGTACTGGGGATCGAACGCAGGTCCTTGCGCTTGCAACCACTGAACTAAATCCTCAGCCCAAGTTTTGTTTCATTGTTCTTTGTTTGTTTGTTTTTTGGGGTTTTTTTGTATTGGGTTTGATTATTATGGAAAGAAAGTGATTTTGTTCCCTGATCAGTCCGCATTTTGAACCATTATTTTATCTATACAAGGTCTGACTGCCTTTTAGTTAGCAGGAAATGCAGTTTGGAGGACTGAAAAATTAGTCAATATAAGTATATCTATTAAAACAAATACCCTATGACAGAGGATGGTGACAATGACAGACTATGCATATGCAAGGAAAAGGGGCTATGTGGTTTGTCAGGAACATAAAACTGCTCTAAAACATAAAGTTCATTGAAAATAAAGTGAAATTAATTAATTAACCAAGCCCTTTGGAACTCACAACCACTGCTACAGAAATGTAAATTTGCACAAGCACTTTGGAGCACACACAGTGACATTTATCTAATGAACTTAACAATACTAGAGTCTTATAGTAAATTCATTCCATAGCAATTCCATTCATACAAAGGACTGTGCTTCATGTGCACCAGGAAACATGCGCAAAAATATAACATCTTTAAAATCAGAAGTAATCTTAATGCCCATCAACAGTACAATCCACTGCAATGCAATCATTTGATATATTTTTATAATAAAAATGAAGTGCAGACTAACAGAAGAGGGTTGCAAGTACAATGGAAAGTAGAAATATTCAAGTTACTGAAGAATATACAAGGATGATTTAAATTAATAGGAAGTTCAAAACAAACATGTCTACATATATATCTTTAGGAATGGGAGTGTAAAAAAAAAGCAAGAAAATGATTCTTCTAAAAGTCAGCACAATATCTGTGAGGGAAAAGATAATGTGACAGGTAAAGGCTGAGGAATACTGGTACTTCCGGGCTCTGTTAGAGAGTATATGTCTCTTCCTCTCAGCTCCCTCAGCCCCTTTCTCTCTCATTAACACTTATAAGTACCACATACACGCACGAGGAAGTGGGGATGGGGTTTTTAGAACAGACTGATACATTCAAGGTCCTCTCCAGAACAACTAAATCAAAATTTCTAAGTGGGGCATGAGCTTTCCTAAAGATTCTCAAATTGTTGAATGCACAGCCAAGTTTGGGATCTGCTATTTTAAATAAATAAATAAATGATTAGCACACTTTATCCCAATGGTCTCCCTTTTAGAACACTGTCTTCCCAATCAGCTCTGAAGAGCTATCTATAAGCTAAAAAGAATGTCACCAAAGAACAGCACCAAATAAACTTTTTTGTTACTTTTACAAGTTATCTTTCATCACATTATTTATTGCTAAGCCAGGAAATATCCTTAAACATTGAGCAAGATAATAAAGCTAAAATATGATGGGTACAATAATCAAGAAACAAATAACATTTTAAAATGTAAATAATTTAGACATATTAAACTTAGTAGGATTCAGTAATATTTCATTGCTCCTGAGTAGAGCCACTAAAATGTATTTAACACACTAAATTTTTAGAAGATCAAAGTATTTCTTTTTAATTCACAAAAATCCGATTCATTACAGTAAGTTCTACCTGATTTCTAAAGCCCCATATGTGGTATGATTAAAAAATACAGTAAATGTTTAAATTTTTTTAAACTATCACAGTAAAGACACATTACCATTAATCCCCCCCCAAAAAAAAATTCACCCTCACTTTGAACACACATTGTTCTTGCTACTTTCTGAAGCAGTTCTGGAAGTTCTCTTTCCTAAGTGTCTTTAGTTGCACTATTGTAGCTACCTTAACAACCTGAACGAATTCAAAATATTTACCTTTCGTGGTTATTTTGATTTTGGAGAAGAGTCAGAAGTCTCAGAATGCCAGATTCAGTGAATAAAGTAGATAAGGACACACCGTAATGTTTTTACAAGCTTGCCTTTCTACTGAATGGCATTCAGCAGCAGCATTCACTATATATTTTTTAATCATACCTCATAAAGACACACCTGAAAGAGGACTTCCAAAACTTCTTCAGAAAGTGGTGAAAAGGACTGTTTTAGCTGAGGAAAAGTAGCTCAGGGAGATTAATGACTATGTCTCTTTCACTCTAATAAATTTTTAAAATTTAAACATTCACTATATATTTTGAATGCTCCTTGTATATATTCATTATCTCAACTTGTGTATCTAAGTTATTCAGTAGGTGACCTCAAATGAGATCATTTCTAAGTGCTAAATCCTGTGCACCAAACAAAGGACATAGTCCGTCCCTTTTGAGAAGCATACAGATGGCTCACTTTTCTTCAAAATAAAATAGGTATCTGAGCAATGAAATCATTGAGTACAAGTCTAGGCTTAGACACATGAAAAAATAGAAATAAACTATCTTGCCTCTAAGAAAACATCTGCAGTTTAAATTATTTCCACCTATATCATGTATTGAGACTTGAAAGTTTATAGATGTTTGTGAAAATGCCAAACATGATAAGCAAAAGTAAATACAACGGAAAAAAATCAGCAAAAGTTTACATGGAGAGTAGAAGAGACAATATGGCATGGGCATCACACAATCTCTACATTGTTTTCAGGATTCTGAATGAGGTCATGTCTTATAACCTCTTCCTTTCATATAGGCTGCT